ATAAATAAGAACATTTTTCAAAGAATATCAGGAAAGTGAACTGAAAGGGTGAGAGGCACTGGTCAGATTTCAATGATGGGTTAGTCTGGGTGGCAGGAAGTGAAAAGAAATGCGCACAACAAGGTAAAGCCACTGAGTCACCCAGGGAGCTTTTGAAACCACCCAGAAACCTGCCAAGAATACAGCTGGGAAGACCAGCACTGGCTAGGACTGCAGGCCCCAGTGAGAAAGCGAGAGTCCTGGGGGTGGGGGAGTGACCACACAACAGGTGATTCCGCTTCATAGAAATGCAAAGTGTTTGAGGTAGGAAGGAAAAGCCATTGAAAACCGTAATGGGGAGCAAGTGGGCTGTGTGCAGCTCTTCCAGTCACTGTGGAACAAGGGAGCTTAGAGCACGACTCCCCTGCAGCCTGGAGTTGGCTGCAAAGAGGAGACCTCAATGCGAGTTTGCGTTGGCACACTCCTGGGAGCCTAAGCCAGGCTTATCATTCAATGTTTGTTCAATAACCACATCTTCCTTTCAATGTGCCTCCTCCAGGAGGGCCTTCATTTCATTAGTTATTTTTAAAGATTTATTTGTTTGAAAGCTGGAGTTACAGAGAGAGTAGGCTTCCATCTGCTGGTTCGCTCTCCAGATGGCTATGGTGGATAGGGCTGGACCAGGCAAAAGCCAAAAACCAGGAGCTTCATCTGGGTCTCTGACATGAGTGGCAGGAACCCAAACACTTGGGCCATCTTCTGCTGTTCTCCCAGACCATTATTGGAGAGCTGGATTGGAAGTGGAGCAGCCAGGACTCCAACAGGTGTACATATGGGATGCTGACATCCCAAGTGTTAGCTTAACCCACTACACCACGATGCTGACCCCATTAACTGTGCACTGTTGCCACTTAGCAGTAAAACAAGTCCTGAGACAGAGTTACAGCTTGCTAAGCATCCAACACAGACTTTCCTTAAGGGCACAGTTTTTTCAGAGCTTCAGACTCTTCTGTTGGTCCTATCCTCGTTGCCCAACTCTCTCCCCTGACTTTTTCAGGCAGGATGATATATGATGTACACACATCGCATGCTCAAATGTGACTTCCATAAAAATACTCTTGGTAATTGCAGCTGCACTTTATGAGGCTATGATGAAAAAGACATAAAATGTAGCTGTGAAAAATTGTGTTCACAAACCTGAGAAAAATTTGGTTATGAATATCTACTCTGTGAATTGCAGCAACAGAGTATGACATAAACTACAACACTGGAATCGGAAACATCCTTGGGTATTGAAAAGGAAGCCTGCACACACACAGATGCATGCACAACTTGGAATGGAATATCCTAAGCATGAAGTAGTCTTAGACCATTATTCATTTGATTCCAATTCCTTTGTACTGTCCACTTAAAATCTGTTTATTTGACTTAAGTTTAAGCATGAGATTTCATACCTGAACTAGGCCAGCATCTACCCAAAACTCCATGTCAACCAGAACATCAGAATGTGGCTTTTTGTGCAACAGAGTCTTTGTAGATGTAACTTGTTAAGATGAAGTCACAGGGATCCCAGTGACTGAAGCCACACAGAGGCGGACACATGGGAAGGCAGACCACCCCAGCTTCAACAGAGGCAGAGGATGGAGAGAAGCCCCTCCCAGACAGGGAGAACCAGGGGTTGCTGGCACCAGCTGGATCTGGAAGAAGCCAGAAGCATTCTTCTTTAGAGCCTTCAGTGTCAATGTGGTCTTGTTGTCCCTATCATATTAAACTAGGAGGGAACAAATTTCTGTTGTGAAAGCAATGCAGTGTGTGGTCATTTGTTATGACAGCCCTCGGAAACCCATGCAATGATTATCAATTAAAAGTAATAATAGGGCCGGCGCTGCAGCTCACTAGGCTAATCCTCTGCCTGTGGCACCGGCACCCCAGGTTCTAATCCCGGTTGAGGCGCTGGATTCTGTCCCAGTAGCTCCTTGTCCAGTCCAGGTCTCTGCTGTGGCCTGGGAATGCAGTGGAAGATGGCCCAAGTGCTTGGGCCCTGCACCCACCTGGGAGACCAGGAGGAAGCACCTGGCTCCTGGTTTCGGATTGGCATGGTGAGCCAGATGTAGCAGCCATCTGGGGGGTGAACCAACAGAGGGAAGATCTTTCGCTCTGTCTCTCTCTCTCACTGTCTAACTCTGCCTGATAAAAAAAAAATTTATAAAAGAAAGTAATAATAAAGCCCTTGTACAAGGCTAGTTTTTTTTGTTTTGTTTTGTTTTGTTTTGTTTTGTTTTTTTTGGACAGTGAGACAGAGAGAAAAGTCTTCCTTTTCCGTTGGTTCACCCCTCAATGGCCCCTGTGGCCAGCGCACTGCACTGATCCGAAGCGAAGCCATGAGCCAGGTGCTTCTCCTGGTCTCCCATGTGGGTGCAGGGCCCACTGCACTCCCGGGTCACAGCAGAGAGCTGGACTGGAAGAGGAGCAACCGGGACAGAATCCGGTGCCCCAACCGGGACTAGAACCTGGTGTGCCGGCGCCGTAGGCGGAGGATTAGCCTAGTGAGCTGCGGCGCCGGCCTGCTAGTGTGTCTTGTTCTCAGGTCCAGTTAGCCAATCATATCATCTTGCCCATGTGGAAATGCTTCCTCTCTGAGAACCACCAGGAATCTCATTTCACCCCAGACACTCCTTCAGCATGCCCCTCCCACACTGTCCATCACGGGGGAAGCAGTGCTAATTTTCTAACATGTGACCTGTGCAAATTCTCTCGGCAGATGACCCTGCGGCTCTCTGTTGAAGTCAAAGTAAGGTCCATACTCTTTGCATCCAAAATATCCAGTCTGTACCCCAGAACCCTTCCTCTGCCTCCTCGCCCACCATGCTTCTTGGCCATGGGTGCACTTGCAGATACGTGTCCACAGTCCAGCTCTCACCTGCACACACACATGTGCACATGTGTACAGTCTTTTAGGCTGCAACCAATTGGACAATGCACACTTCTAGAGTAGGCTGCTCACACACGTTCCTGCAGTTCCACACACCCGGAGCACTCAGTTGTGACTTCTCTTTTCCAACAACGTCCATTCGGCACCCTCAGGACTCAGATCAACAGCCACATCTGCACGGATGGTCTCCCCCACCCACAGGCATCCCGAGCCTGGGGGATGCTCTCCCTTCCCAGATCTGGCCATGCCCAGGAGTCTGTGCAGATGAACTTCCCTCGCAGGTCAGAGCAACCCTTAACAGCAGAGACTGGCACACACTCAGGTGATTAAAAGCTTGTTTCCTCATTTACCAGGATATAAGACTTCAGTAATACTGAGATGCAAGTATTACTTCAGCTTATGCATTAATTCAGCTTCGTTATATGGTTGTTTCTCCAGTGTCTATTTGCTAGGCACCGTGACAGATACTAGTTAACACTTGTGGAAATAGAGAGCTTCTGTTCTGAAACTGTGCATTGTCACCCTCCCTGAGTATGAGAAACCAATGCCACCCTCCAGGGTTTAACCAAAATTGTCAGCCACCACCGTTCCAACCCATGGCAGAAGCCGTCTCTAAACCTGCACTCCATGTGCTTCCATCATGATATGCTCATTACCAAGGTAATTCTTAGTTCTCATCTTGTTTTCTTAGGTCAATCCTCTGATTTCTGCTTTAGGGGAAGACCTGTTTTCCTGAAAACCGTTGTTGCAAGACTTCTATTGAAGTGGAATTCTTGGAAGTGAACCTGCAGTCTTACCAGACCTCATGGCCTCGTGAAGCCAAGGGATTTGGATTCTCTACAAAGTCTGTGGCTGGGGGCACTTGGTCAAGCTGCATGTAATGAGCCCGCAAGACAGGCATTGGTGGAGGTGGCAACCCTGCCTGGCAGCCCTGGTGCTGTCTCAGCTGCCACAGTGCACTGGTGTACACTCGGGTCCACCTGCACTGCAAGCGTCTGGAGGGCAAGGTATATCTTTCTTGGAGTCATGAATTTCCTAACATGCAGATGCTACATGTGGAAGAAATTAGTAAACAGGTGTGGAGGAGAGTGATCCACACATCCTATTTTAAAAGGTGGGAGTGGTGGGGATCGTGTGTTTCTGCTTTTGCACTCACTCACCCAACCAAACCAAGATGACCCCCAAGAAGCTGCTCTGTAGACGTCATGGCCGTGAACGTAACAGCTGCACTGGTGGTTAACTGTGTTTCTAGCACTGTTTCAGATTTCCGTGCATTCACTTCTTGGACCCACGCAACAACACTTGGAGACAGAGCTCACTTCCATCATCATCTAACATCTGAGGGAAGTGAAACACAGAGAGGTACAGTAATTTACATCTCGTGATTGGTACAGTGGATGGCAGAGCAGATATTGAAGGCCAGGCTGTCCACTTCTGGACCCTGGCTCTTAGCACACTGTATCCTCTCAATGGCTGAACATAGTGCGTTATGGTTTTCTTTTTTAAATGAATGAAGTGCTTATGTAAATAACATTATAATACCTGCTGAATTGTATTACAGAAACACATCTTTCCATGCGGATCTCAGTGAAGAACAGTGTCAGTTTTAGGGCCCTGAAACAGGAACTTGGCGGAGGAAGTCCCTGATGCAAGCCTGAGTGTGTCTGGTTCTCACCACTCAGGTTCTACAGCAAAGGTGTCTACAGAGTTCACTCAGGGTCTGACTCTCATATTTTGAACGGTGAACTTGAACAAGATGCGCCTCAAGCATGCGACAATTGATGGCCCAGATAGAGCCTCTGTCCAGTAAATGTCAGTCTTGGTACAAGTGTTGTTGGTGGAATCTGGACTCGTCTCCGTCCACCTTATGTCGTCAGCTGAGTTGAACAGGCTGCAGGAGAGGCATGGTGGGAGCTCAGGAGGACAGCTGGGCACAGAACAGACAAACAGACTCTAGTGAAGGGGGCAGTGAGGCTGACCATTGTGGGTACTGAGGGTGAGGGGGCGGCATATCAGGGAGGGAGCTGTTCATAGCAACAGGGAGTAAACTATGGCAACTGAGGAATCAGCAACATCACAGGGTTCTCCAGCCCTGGCGCCTGGCGGGGAAAGCCATGCTTCTGTTAGGGTTCAAATGGGCACGGGGGTTCAAGCAGTGAAGAACAGAGTAGAATTGGGGAGCTTTGTGGCCAAGACATAGGAGATGGTAGGATGATCTACAGATCCATACTGTTGTTGAGAGCTGCAAAGAGTGAAATGAAGGCTCAATGGAGGCCGTGTTGAGTGAGTCTCACGGGAGAGCATCCTGTCTAGGGACACAGGACCGTCAGCAACAAGAGCTGCTCCATCATTGCTAAAGGTGAAGTACATCTTAAACAGGTGGTAGTTGATTCTTCCCTTCAGCAGTTTGTCAACTGAACACAACAGTGAATCTCTTTGTATGAATGAAAACATGGTGAATTTCTTTGTTGTATGAATGAAAACACTGTTCCTAGATATCTTTTATGAGCTCAGTTGTTAGCTACTTCACACACTATAACAAGGACTTTTCTGAAAAATATGAAAATTTGTATACATTTCCATTTCCAGTCTTGGTTCTATTAGTATTGAAACCTCTAATTTTGATATTAAAAGTTAACCACTTATCATGTTCTTGATCCTAAACATTTTCATTAGATTTTATTTTTCCATTAAAAAATTCAAACCACAAATTTAACTTGTATATGAACCTCTCACAACCATAGACATGGAGAACATACATATTTTCTATGCAATCATATTTCTTTCTCTGTGACCACATCTCTTCCTCTGCATGTGTTGGACAGAGGTAGAGACCCCTGTTGACTTACTCATTTATTTAAAGATTATTTATAACATACATAAGGCAAAGGGATGAAAAACAAACTCAGTCCCCTAAGGTTTTCTCGTTGGCGGTTTCTAGGTTGTTTGAGTCCACCTTACACTTCACCCTGCTCATCTTGAATTGCATTTACATCAAACTGCTCACTCCACACCCTCTGCACATTCAGTTCCGATCTCCTGGTTATCCTTTCATGCACAAACTGCTGGCAAAGGCACTGACTTCTTAGGATCCAATTTCTTTTCAGCACTTGCTGTGAAGTTGTCTTTTACTTCCTAAAGAAACTCCTCGGACAGCTTCCCTTCTCTTCCACTGTTCTCTGTATCACACAGAATTACAAATACTCCGGTTTACATGCTCTTTCTTACATGCTAGACTCTGAGCTCCAAACAGAAGCGATATTTTTCTTCAGGGTTACTAACGTCTTCCAAGTTTAGAATCATTATTAGCATATGCAATAACCTCAAAATAGATTTCTGGAGAGAGGAGTGAGAAAAGCTGCGAGACCAATTGATCCAACTAATGAAGTAACATACGACCATAAAATAAAAAGTGCTTCTGTATCCAGTTGAGTGCTTTTGGGCATTCTGGTCCACCTGAGATAGTAGACACCATTTTATATAGCTCTGAATAATGATCATCTACATTTAGATATTAAAATGTGAGCACAAGCAGCCCTCTGAAAGATAATTTAATTATCGGTTCCTAAAAAATAAAATAGGCCCCACATCTGTTATAGCATAAATTTTGGAAGATTGTCCAATAGTAAGTTTATTAGAATAACACCTAGGCTGCCTATCCAACTTTGAGATCACTGCACCTGGTCTAAAGACTTTCTTATTTACTAGTTGTTGTGGCATTCCTCCTATGTACTGGGCACTTTTCAAGACAGAGAGCACCAGTGCATAAAACTGATGGCCAAGACCCCTCAGAGGTCCTGCACAGTGTAGGAGGGGGCTGTGGAATCGTGAAGTGGAAGTGGGGTGTGGTTCTACCAAAGAGGGTGAGGAAGGTGCTCTCAAATCATGCAGAACTGATAATTCATCCTCAAGGCAGCACACCAAGTGCTCTGGGGAGAAGGGCTCATTGCACAAGGAGAGAACAGCAAACACAAAAGACCTAAGGTGGAAGTTTGTTTGCTTGTTTAAGGACCTGCATGGACAGCACTGGCTGAGCAGTATTGGCAAAGACGATGAGGAGGATGCTGGGAGGGCACGGGTGCCACCAGTGCGGGCGGCACCAACAATGCAGACCGTGGGCCGTTGGAGGCCGTTTGTCCTTCTGAGTGCAGCGTTTCTCTGTGAAGCCATGGAAGACAGACTGCAGGGACAGGGCAGAGGCACAGAGAGGCCAGCGGAGAATGGAATCCAAAGGAGTTCAGCGACAGGCGCTGCAGACAGGATGAATGGACTGAGGGCAGACAAATGGCTCTTGCTGATAGGGTGGGTGATAAGGTGTGGGTGGGGCAGACATAAATGAGCCAGCTATGGTGCCAGTATTTTTAGCCCGAGGAATTGCAAGGGGGTGGTTCTCAGTGGCTGAGACATGAAAGAATCAGGTCTTCTGTTTTCTGGTTGATTGCCTGGTTGTGGTGGTTGCTGTTCCCTTTTCTTTTTGGGATGAAGGGTTGTTGCCATTTGTGAGTGGAAAGGAAGATAATGCATGCAAAATTAAGTTCTGGACTTTCCAGTATGTGCTAGACCTTTCTGGCATGTGCTAGACCTCCAAGTGGAATGCTGAGAAGGCAATCAGACAAATGAGATGTCGGGAATGCAGACAAAAGTTATGTTTCATCTGCTGTGAGTGATACTCCAGGAAATCATTAAAATTTCCTTGAGTGTCAGTGTAGAAAAATTATGGACAAAAATTAAAACTCTAGGTATTCCAGTATTTAGAGGCAGAGGATATGAGAAAACCTACCAAAGAAAATGAAGAAACAGCGTCCAGGAAAGTAAAAGGAAGATGGAGAGGGAATTATCCTGGTCACCAGCAGGAAACGTGGTTTTAAAGAGGATGCAATCAACCTTGCCAAAAATCCAAGAAGATGAAGACTGAGAGCCAAACCCTCGGATTCAACATCTAGTGCCACTGGGGGTGTTGTTTGGATGGGATGGTTGTGAGTGAACTCTACCTGGGACAGGCTCAAACCAGACAGAGATAAGGACAGAAGACTGAATGTAGACTTTCCCATCATAGAATTTTACCGCAGAACAGTGTAACTAAGGCAGAAGAGGCTGCCTTCTTTTTGTTTGGTTGTGAGGTCTAAGTGCATGCCTGTATGCTTTGGAGAGAAGAGTTGATGGTGAAGAACAGAGAGGAGAGAACTGTCAAAAGTAATGATCCTGAGAGAAAAAACAAGACCCGTCTCTCCAGTGCAAAAGCTAGCTTTAGTGAGGGCAAAGAATGGATGGTTAGACACAGGAGCAGGATGCCCCCAGTGACTGGGAGACGGCGTCCTGAGCTGGGCACACAGATAAGGAACACATCGTGAAGGCTTGCGAAGAAAGGAGGAAAGGTGTGAGTGAGACAATAGCAGAGTGGGAAGCAGAATGGGTTGGGATGGGCAGTAATGGGTGGCAGTATGCTGGGGGTTCAGCTATCTTAGATGCAAAGTGATGGCACTCTTCTGAGTTGTAAGTTTCTCTGCCCTGGGTGGGCAGAACGCGCCTCAAGAGCAGAACCGATCCAAGGCCAGCTTCCCAGGACAAACAGAGGAAGGAAGTGGAAGATTGTTGCAGGCAGGGGATTCATGATGGTCCGTGGCATCTAAGCTGGATAAGACTGCGGGGGGTGAGGAACTGAGCCACAGTGGCAGGCTCAATAGGCTGTTAGGCTCTCATGTGTTGAGGACCTGTGTGTTTGGGTAGAAGATTGTATATACGGATATGACAAAACAATTTCAAAATGCATTCACCATAAAGCATAAAACTGAAAACAAAAATTAACAAGTGGCTGATTTGGGTTGAAAATGCCGCTGCTTCTAGTGTTCAGTGGGCACATAGAAGCAAATCATGAAGGGACTAGCAGAGCTGAACACCACCAATGAAGTTGATGGAATCAAGAGTGCCCAGCACTCCACCAACAGCAGGCAAATACACATTCTTCCCAAGAATGTAGAGAAAATTCATCAAGGTAGTCTGTGATGCCATCAACAAAAATTAAGTGTGAAAGAATTCAAATAGTAGAAAATACATTCATTGACTAGAACAGAATTAAACTATAAGTCAATAACAGTATACCTGGAAAATCTTCAAATATTCAGAAAGTAAACATCACACTGAAAAATAACTATGAATAAGGAATAAATCATGAAGGAAATTAGAAAAATTACCAATTGAATGAAAAGAAAGCATATCAACTTTGTGCAAAGTATGTAAGCAATGCACAGAGGAAAATTCATGGCATTAAATGTGCATGTTAGGAAAGAAGAAGGAACCTGATGAAATGATCTACATCTCCACTTTGGTAAATTAGGGAAGTGAAACCAAATGAAAAACCACCAGTCATCAAGAAGTATGCTATCTCAAAATTAAAAATGGGAGGGAAGGAAGAAAGGATGAAAGAAACAGAGATGGAGGGAGAGAAGAGGGAAGAGAGGGAAGAGAATATCATTATATTCTTAGAATTGTATCTATGAATTACATTGAGCCTGTTAAAGATTGATTAAAATAAAAAAGAGAAAAAAAATAAATATATAACCTGAATAGTCCTATGTCTATCAAAAATTGGGATTATAATTAAATATTTTCCAAAGAAAGAAATTTTGCATTCATTGGCTGGTTCTAGTAGGCACTATTCTGCATAAACATTTCCCTAATCTTTTAATGAAGCCAGCATTCCTTCATACTGAAACTAGACAGACAGTAAAAGAGAAAAATATAATAATAAATACAGAACCTAATATTCCTTGTGACTGTTAAGGCCCAAATTCTTCTATGAAACATGAGAAAACTGAACCCAAACAACATACAAAATTATACTGAAGCCTTTAAGCAATATTTTGACTCAATTATTTTACAACTAAATATCTTGTTATAGTCTGTTAATTACAGAGTTATTTGTTTACCAATTTAGAAATAACTTTTCCTGCTTTCCAATAAATACACTATTTAATTACATGGAAATAGACCAAAAATTGCAACTAAAAGAAAAGCTATATATACATAATATATATAACATATATAATACATACACAATGTATCATATATGTTATATATAAAACACATATGTTTTATGTATGTTATATTATATATTATATAATGTTATATATAACATATATTATATATAATAAAGTATATATACTTTATTATTTCAAATGATAATTCCAAAATCTCTATAATATATAATCTAAATAAAAATCTTTAGCAGAAATTTGTAAAAATTCTCACAACCCATATACTAGTTTGTAAATTATTCACATGGAATGCCATGGTGCTCTTAAAATTGAATTATATAATAAATCTAAAAGAGAATGACTAAAGCAACATTGCAGAAAAGTACTTGTGTGCATTTTGTAGTCTTACAAAAACTAAAGCACATTCTTCTTCTTTGTGAACATTTATTTTTGGTTTCATGTAAATTTAATCAGGGTTGTGACAACATGACTCTCATCCTGTGGCCATGGCAGACATCACTAATTGATTAATCCATGGATCACTAATCCATGTGTAGATTAAACATGTGTTTCAAGTACCTATTATAATCAATCAACATCAAGCTACAGTTTGAAACGTATCTATCATTTTTAATTATAATAACATTTGGACTGTGCTCCTAAATTTATTTATATTTTGTAAGCAAATATTCAGATCAAATTCTCAGGTTATGAGCCATTCCTGTACTTCCTCTTAAGTGGCATGCTGTTCCTCATTAATTAGCTACATGGTTTAGACAAATATTCCATGCTCCTCTTATCCAATTTACTGTACTTGAAAGCTCAGCAATGACTTTAGAGCAGTCAAAACAAACATCATGAAGTCTATGTTCCATAGCAGGGCATGTATACAATAGGATATCAGATCTCACTCCTAACCTGTTACATTTAGGAGATGGCTTCAACTGATATCCAATCTACAGCAAACAGAAAGAAGATGGAGGTAGGAGGGAAGAACTGCGGGATTCCCTAGGTCCACCGCTGGTAGTTATGAACCAGGAAATGAAGTAACCATTCAAAAATAAAATACTTCCAAGTTAGGTGGGTAGAACAATCCATATTTTCATTCCATAGTCCTTGCAACTCAATGAAATTGACTAAAAGATTGAAATAGAAAAAACACCAAAAACATCTATCTTTAATAAGAAGGAAGACCAGCCTTTATCCAACAACAGATACCACACACTAAGGAAAATCAGCTCACTGTAATCACCAGGCGTCACTCAGGTTACCAGCAAAAGTACAAAACAAGACATCAAGTCTTCAAAACGTGGGTGGCACCACACTGGGTTGCCAGACCAACACACTCAATTACTTCAGGTGTCTCCACTGTAATATCTCTAAACAACATGATTTTGCTACCGTTCATTTTCAGTTATTAATGTTATCAATTAAAATCAAATGAACAGATGAGGAGTTAACCCTCCTTGACCCCCTCACCCACCATCATCATATGCAAACACGCTTCCCGAATCCCTCCCCTGGCCTTGCAATAAGCGCATGGAGCTCTAGATCAATGCTCAGTATTTACACTTCCAGGACGGTGTAAGTGCTCCTCACAGCTGAGCAGTGTGATGCTGTTTGCTTTTCATTTGATGCATGGCTTATTTTTTTATTTTCTTGGTAATTATAATTATCTTGCTTCGGTGTTTGCTTAATTTTCTATGTACTTATTACAAATTCAATGTCAAACTCTGTCCCAACAGTGGAAATAGACTCCCAATAATTACATCAACTATTTTACTGACTTAATCTTTTTAAAGGACACCATCAAAATTCCTTCAGAATTTTTAAAATCCTGCTCTTTTGCCTTCCAGTGTGTTACCTTTCTCAGTTTCTGGAGATGACTAAAAAATCAGATTATTTCAATGTAATTTTTTTAGCAAGTTACATAATTTTCCTTTTGCACTTAGGATTGATAAATTTCCCAAGGATATAATTTAGTTACATTCATGCTTATTCATTGTATTGTGCTTATGATGGGCTTTAGATCTAGAAATCTCTCCATTCTTGAAAGTTATCTTTTATTGTTTGATTATTTTGTTGGTGTTATTCTATTCTCTACCTTCTTCATTCCCTCTTTCTAGAAAATGTCCCTGTTTCTTCCTCTAATTCCTGTATCCTTCCTTCTTTTCAATTTTCTGTCCTTCTTACTATGTGACAGTTTTGTGAACTTCATCTTTTCAAAGTCTCTATTGCATTTAACTGTGTTTTATGATGACTTTAATTTCCAAGAGCACTTTTTTATACTGATGGACTCAGTATATCCTTACGGACTCATCTCCCCTCAGCTTCCAAAATTCTCTAATGATTGGTTCCTTTCTTAACCTTTTGCTTTTCTGGACTTATTTCTCTAATATGAATTTTTTTTATTTGAATGAGCTTTTAGAAGAAATAGAACTAATTATATGTCTTTTGGTATATTATCTTTCACCTGAAATTCTTCCTAGTAAAATTTCACTTTTTAAAAAACTTTTTCAGGCCGGCGCCGCGGCTCACTAGGCTAATCCTCCGCCTTGCGGCGCCGGCACACCGGGTTCTAGTCCCGGTCGGGGCGCCGGCCCGTGCCCTCTCAGCAGCTTTCTGCTGGACCAGGGGGGCAGTAGAGATGACCCAAGTGCTTGGGCCCTGCACCCCATGGAAGACCAGGAAAAGCACCTGGCTCCTGGCTCCTGCCATCGGATCAGCACAGTGCTCCGGCCACAGCGCGCCGGCCGTGGCGGCCATTGGGGGGTGAACCAACGGCAAAGGAAGACCTTTCTCTCTGTCTCTCTCTCTCACTGTCCACTCTGCCTGTCAAAAAAACAAAAAAAAAAACAAACAAAAAAACCTTTTTCTATAGACTGTTTATTTAGCACGATTTGCCTCAATCAATTTTTGGATTTAGCAGACATCGTAGATGCAATATGAATATGAATGTATATTCATGTATAATATATCTAGCATTTTCTTTAGTGAATAAGCAATAGTGTATTTAAAAAATAGCAATTGACTGAACTTTCCTAGGTGTGTTATAATCTGAATAGCTTTGCTTCAAAAGGATTTGAAAATATCTCTTGACAAATATACCAGAAAAAAACACTGAAAGATTTCATCTCTAATAGAGCAAGTGTTGATCTGTTTTCATTATCTACCACACATTCTGCCTTGAAAGAAACTTCTTTCATGAAAGTAGAATTAAATTTTGTGTATTATTGGTGGAAAAGACTGTTAGTTATGTACCTCAATATTAGAACTCTAAACACGAAAGACTCAAATATTTATTTCAGGGAGACAGAGACAGATACACAGAGAAAGATCATTCATCGGCTGGTTCACTACCCAAAGGCTCTCACAAGCCAAGGCCGGCCCAGGCTGAAGCTGGGAGTCCCATAACGCCAACATGGCCGTCAAGCACTGGACTGGAGCCGTCACCTGCTGCCTCTCAGGTGCACATTAGCAGAAAGTTGTCAGAAACAAGGTGCCTGCCAGGGCTCGGATCCAGACACTCTGATACGCGATGTTTAGTCAAATGCCTGCCCAACACAGATAATTTAATACACATTTCAAAATTAGCACTAAGGTTCACTTTCTTGTCGCCAATCAGGGAGAACATATGATATTTGTCCCTTTGGGACTGGCTTAATTCACTCAGCATGATGTGTTCCAAATTCCTCCATCTTTTTGCAAATGACTGGGTTTCATTGTTTTTGACTGCTGTATAGTATTCAATAGAGTACATGTCCCATAATTTCTTTATCCAGTCTACTGTTGATGGGCATTTGGGTTGGCGACAACTAACTGAGCACCAAAGGGGAAACTTGTTGAAGTGAAATGGACACTATGAGAAACAGTGACTTGATCAGCTCTTGTCCTGACGGTTGATGTACAATGTAATACTTTATCCATTTTAGTATTTTTTGTTCTAGTACCATTGGTTGAACTCTGTAATTAACACACAATTGTTCTCAGGTGTTTAAATTTTAACTGAAAAGTGATCCCTGTTAGGAATTTGGAAAACATTATGTTGAGTGAAATAAGGCAATCCCAAAGGGACAAATACCACTTGTTCTCCTTGACAGGTGACAACTAACTGAGCACCAAAAAGGAAACCTGTTAAAGTGAAATGTACACTATGAGAAACGGTGACTTGATCAGACCTTACCCTGACTGTTGATGAGCAGATTAATATGTTATCCCTCTTAGTATTTTTTTTCTTTGTTCTACTTAATACTTTTGGTCGAATACTGTAATCAATACACAATTCTTCTTAAATGCTGAAACTTAACTGAAAAGTGATCGCTGTTAAATATAAGAGTGGGAATAAGAGAGGGAAGAGATGTGCAATTTGGGACATGCTGAAGCTGACTTGCCTCAAACGGTGGAGTTAGAAACATACCAGGGGATTCGAATTCAATCCCATCGAGGTGGCATGTACCAATGCCATCTCACTAGTCCCAGTGATCAATTTCTGTTCACAATTGATCATAATGATAGGACTAAGAACAAAGGGATCACATAAACAAGAATAGTGTCTGCCAATACTAGCTGATAGAATCAAAAAGGGAGAGAACGATCCAACATGGGAAGTGAGATACACAGCAGACCCATAGAATGGCAAATGTCCTAACAGCACTCTGGCCTCATAATCAGCCCTTAAGGCATGTGGATCTGGCTGAAATGCCCATGAGAGTATTTCAGGCATGGAAAGCCAAGACACTCTGGGGGAAAAAAAAAATGAAAGATCTCCACAAGTGAGATCACAGTGGAAAGAATGGGTCATCAAAGAAGGAGGTACCTTTCTCTGAAGGGAGGAGAGAACTTCCACTTTGACCATGGCCTTGTCTAAATATGATCAGAGTCAGTGAACTCAGGGGGCTTCCATAGCCTTGGCAGCTCATGACAAGAGCTTAGGGTGATTAATGATGCCATAAAGAAGAGTGTCAATTTGTTAAGTCAACAACAGGAGTCACTGTGCACTTACTCCTCATGTAGGATCTTTGTCCTTAGTGTGCTGTACATTGAGATTTAATGCTATAACTAGTACTCAAACAGTATTTTACACTTTATGTTTCTGTGTGGGAGCAAACTGTTGAAATCTTTACTTAATGTATGCTAAACTGATCTTCTGTATTTAAGAGAATCGAAAATGAATCTTGATGTGAATGGAAGGGGAGAGGGAGTGGATAAGGGGAGGGTTGCGGGTTGGAGGGACGTTATGGGGGGGAAGACATTGTAATCCATATTCTGTACTTTGGAAATTTATTCATTAAATAAAAGTTAAAAATAAAAAAAAAAGATAAAAGAAAACAAAAAAAAAAAGGTTCACTTTCTTAAGAAACTTCCAGGGACAGGCACTGTGGTGAAGTGGGTAAAGCCTCTGCCTCCAGTGCCAACATCCCATGTGGGTGCCCGGTCAAGTCCCAGCTGCTCCGCTTCCAATCCAGCTCACTTCTGTGCCATGGGAAAGCAGTGGAAGATGACCCAAGTCCTTGGGCCCCTGCGCCCGTGTGGGAGACCCAGAAGATGCTCCTGGCTCTTGGCTTCTGGCTTCTGATTGGTCCAGCCCCAGCTGCTGTGTAAGTGGGGAGTAAGTAAGCAGATAAAAGACCTTTCTCTTTCTCTCTTCCTTGCTCTAACTCTGCCTTTCAAATAAATAAATAAATCCTAAAAAAAAAAAAAAAAAAAAAAACTTCCAGGATTTTTATGGAATATTTGACCAAATGATCCATGCTGTATGAACAGAAGCTGCACTATAGTACGGTCCCTGTATCACAAAGTGTTCTGTTTTCAAGTGCTAAGTACTCTTGTTGCATCCAAGTGTCACCGAGAACAGGGCTCTGACCCCAGCCCTGGAGTGTGGGGGAAGGGAGAAGCCGGGAGACAGGAGAGAATGGCCCTTAGCTAGTGGTGACCTGGCCCTCAGGCCAGCTCTGGCTGGGGACTCGCTTCCCTGCCCGGAGGCCCCTGGCCCGACTTCCCCATCTCCTTCCCGCTCTGAGGGCGCTCCCCTGCGCCCGCAGCGGCCTCCAGCTGCTGCCCGAGGACATGAGCAGTGACCTAACGCATCACCTTCATCCCACTCCCCTCCATGGACCGATCTGGTTGCATAGCCCTAGAATCTGACAGACAAAAACGCTGAAATTCCTTAGAATACGCAGAGGGAGGAGGTGACTCAACAAGGTGCTAAAACATTTTATTAAAAATATATATTGTTAAATTAAGTCTGCTGTCTGGACAATGACTGTTTTGTTTTCTTGTAGTGGAGTTTAAAAGAGACTATTATTTTACTCTGATATATTATTATTAAAAAGGCATTTTAACTTTGTACTTGAAAACTAAATGAGCGATTTCATGTGTTTTAGCTGAGGCATTGAAGTAGCGGGTGCTTACTTACTTGTGGGAAATCATGTATCCATACTGAAGAGTAAACTCCGTAGCTGATTGGGGAATAACTTTTACTGTTACAGACGACTCGCTTTGACCCCTGGTGGCAGAGTGCTCACTCCACATTCCACGCAGCTAAATGCAGGACCTTCCAGAAGCTTCTCCCCTTCCCCCGCCCCTCTCCTTTCTCTTAAGTTCCTCCTTTTTTTTTTTTTTGTTGTTGTTGTTGTTTTGTTTTGTTTTTGTTCTTCTTCCTTCTTCCTGGTTCTGGCATCCTTTCACCACTGTATTTGTTTGTTTGTTTTTAGGGTTGCTTCTCTATTTATTGACAATAATAATGTACATTTCACAGTCTGGTTCTGGGCCATCGGGGAGGGGCGTGGGTCCCTGTCCCGGGTGTCCTCTTGTACTCTGTGTAAGTGATGCTCGTGACATAGCTGTTTATGAAATAATTAAAGAGGTCAATGCGTACAGCAGATGTAGAAAAGTCTGTCAGTTCCGCCTTCATCACAGTTTTTTTTTTCTTTTTTTTTGTGCCCAGAAGAATATAATAAAAGCTCCTTTCTAATGTACTTGTGCTGGACAACACTTGAATAAATGGACTGTTTTTGTGCAAAAAGAAAACCGGAAAAAAAAAACAAAACACACAAGCTAAGTCATGTGACACCCTGGCCTGATGTATTCTGCAGGTTCTTTGCTGCATTTCCTGGAGAACAGTTTGCAGTATTTTTTCCTACTTCCCAACCAATGAAGTCTTTTTTCTTATATTCTTTTAAGGTTTTTTTTTTTACTTTCATTTTTAATTAGTTAACTGTCGCTCCCCCTCTTCGTGGAGGAACGACACAGGACCCTGCGCTGTTCTTTCGTCTGCTCGGCCCTCCCCGGGTTTGCTGCTGGTTCTTCCCGGGTTGGCTACTGTCCCTTCCACCTCCGTGGAAGGGCAGTTCCCCCTGGCCACATTCCCCACTTCCGCAGGGGAGCGGCACACCGCCGGCCGGGTCTCTCGGGGGCTGCACGGGTGTTCCTTCAGCTAAATGTTCCCCATAGATGTTCCTGGTGCATGCCGTCTCTCTCCTCCTTTATAGTCCTCCTCCGCCAATCCCAACTCGGCTGCCCACACGCCGAGTACGCTGCTCTCCTCCAATCAGGAGCAAGTCCTACAGTTTATTAGCTGAACTGGAGGCAGCTGTGCGGAAGCTGTTTACTTCTCTCCCAGCGCCATATTGTGGGAGAGCAGATGCATAGAATAAGTCCTAATTCCAGTAACTCAGTCTAGTCCGGATTGCTCCCCACAGTTAACAAATTCAATGTGATTTGTGTATATAATTCTAAGAATGAAGTGATATTCCCGTCCTCTCACTCTCCCTCCACCCCTCTCTTTCACCTACATTTCCTCCTCTCTTTTTTTTTTTTTTTTGATTTTGAGATACCATATTTTAAATTTACATTACAGTAAAAAGGCTTAATCCTTCACCGGATAAGAAGCTTAACAAATGAAAAACAAAAAGACCCTAGGCTAGTGGGAATATTGAAAATGGCTTTAAACAATAATTGAATAGAAAAATGACCATTTTATCCAGGTATCATACATGTTAAAGTGATCATAGATCATTAAATCTACAGTGGTATAACATGCCTAACCACTGGTTTGACAAATGTATGAAATAAAGTTTTACAAAGCTATATTTGCAGCAATAATTATACTCACAGATTTTTCTTTTTTTTTCTTTTTTTAATTTTACCTCCCACATATGAGGGAGAACAGTATTTGTCCTTCTCGGTCCAGCTTATTTCCTTCTACATGATGTCCTACAGTTGTGTCAATTTTGCTGCAAATGTAGAATTTCATTTATTTTTATAACTGAATATTATTCCATTGTATACCACATTTTCTTAATCCATTCACCTGATAATGGACACCTGAGTTGAATCCAAATTTTGGCTACTGTGAACAGAGCTGCTATAAACCTGGTGGAGTAGCTGACCCTTTGATTCAGTGTGCTCGAGTCTTTTGGGTATAGACCCAGTAGTGAGATTGCTGGATCACATGGCAAGTCCACTT